GGAATGTTATATCGTGGAGTGTAATATCGTGGAATGTTATATCAGGGAATGTAATATCGTGGAATGTTATATCGTGGAATGTTATATCGTGGAATGTTATATCGTGGAATGTTATATCATGGAATGTTATATCGTGGAATGTAATATCGTGGAATGTTATATCATGGAATGTTATATCGTGGAATGTTATATCGTGGAATGTTATATCGTGGAATAATTTTCTTTGCTGTCTTATTTCTTGAATTCGAAATTCCTGGTGGCGTACAATTACCCCTGAGTTTTTGTCTCTTGGTAGCCTGTGACCAAACACCGATACTAAAGCTGCTTGCTTGGTTGTTGTACCCCACCGGGACATCACACACGCGATAAACACCAGGGGACTCAAAGTGCCACCATGCGGATAAGGATCACCCGTGGCGAGATCCCAGAAACCTATTTCAGCCGTTATGGCCATGTTTGTGGCCCGGTTATGTTTGGGGCCACTGACAAAAGCCAGGGTGGGGCTTCAAATAAAATAAAAATTGCATCTCACATAGGGACTGCTAAAAGGAAAAAGGGGGTTGTAAAATAAACGATACAAGGGCGTGGTACACACCAAATACGCCTTTGTGTGTAACAGTTGTAATGTTCATAATTGGATTGGATTGGATTTTTTTACCCCACCAGGACATCACACAAGCGATAAACACCCGATGACACAAAGTGCCACCATGCGGATGAGGATCACCGTGGAGAGGTCCCAGAAACCGCGTTCAGACATTTGGCCATAATGATGACCTGCCTATATTGCGGCCCCTGGCAAAAGCCAGAGTGGGGCTTCAAATAACAAAAAATAACGTCCTAAGAAGGACGAAAAGTTAATTATAGATGTTCATAATGTGTAATCTCATTGGTATTTACTACACTTCTGGTTTAAAATGTTCATTTGCATGCACACATCTATATCTAAACATGTTAATTTGCATGCACACATCTATATCTAAACATGTTCATTTGCATGTACACATCTATATCTAAACATGTTCATTCCAGAATTGGAAGAAAGAAAGTTCTTCTCATTGGAGTTTTTGGACAGTTCAGTTGTGGTTTAGCTTCAGGATTTGTAAAGAGTTACATCCCCTACGTTATTCTCAGATTCTTCACTACATTCTCAGGCATTGGAATGTTCTTGTGTGCCTTTGTGATCGGTGAGTATATAATATGTTATGTCTGTCTGTCTGTGCCTTTGTGATCGGTGAGTATAGAATATGTTATGTCTGTCTGTCTGTGCCTTTGTGATCGGTGAGTATATAATATGTTATGTCTGTCTGTCTGTGCCTTTGTGATCGGTGAGTATAGAATATGTTATGTCTGTCTGTCTGTGCCTTTGTGATCGGTGAGTATAGAATATGTTATGTCTGTCTGTCTGTGCCTTTGTGATCGGTGAGTATATAATATGTTATGTCTGTCTGTCTGTGCCTTTGTGATCGGTGAGTATAGAATATGTTATTTCTGTCTGTCTGTGCCTTTGTGATCGGTGAGTATAGAATATGTTATGTCTGTCTGTCTGTGCCTTTGTGATCGGTGAGTATAGAATATGTTATGTCTGTCTGTCTGTGCCTTTGTGATCGGTGAGTATAGAATATGTTATGTCTGTCTGTCTGTGCCTTTGTGATCGGTGAGTGTAGAATATGTTATGTCTGTCAGACTGTCTGTGCCTTTGTGATCGGTGAGTATAGAATATGTTATGTCTGTCTGTCTGTGCCATTGTGATCGGTGAGTATAGAATATGTTATGTCTGTCTGTGCCTTTGTGATCAGTGAGTATAGAATATGTTATGTCTGTCTGACTGTGCCTTTGTGATCGGTGAGTATAGAATATGTTATGTCTGTATGTATGTGCCTTTGTGATCGGTGAGTATAGAATATGTTATGTCTGTCTGTATGTGCCTTTGTGATCGGTGAGTATAGAATATGTTATGTCTGTATGTATGTGCCTTTGTGATCGGTGAGTATAGAATATGTTATGTCTGTATGTATGTGCCTTTGTGATCGGTGAGTATAGAATATGTTATGTCTGTATGTATGTGCCTTTGTGATCGGTGAGTATAGAATATGTTATGTCTGTATGTATGTGCCTTTGTGATCGGTGAGTATAGAATATGTTATGTATGTATGTATGTATGTATGTATGTATTATGTTGTATGTATGTATGTATGTAGTATGTATGTATGTATGTATGTATGTATGTATGTATGTTATGTATGTATGTATGTATGTATGTATGTATGTATGTATGTAATGTATGTATGTATGTATGTATGTATGTATGTATGTATGTATGTATGTAATGTATGTATGTATGTATGTATGTATGTAGGTATGTATGTATGTATGGTATGTATGTATGTATGTATGTATGTATGTATGTCTGTATGTATGTATGTATGTATGTATGTATGTATGTATGTATGTATGTATGTATGTATGTATGTATGTATGTATGTATGTATGTATGTATGTATGTTATGTAGGTATGTATGTATGTATGTATGTATGTATGTATGTATGTATGTATGTATGTATGTATGTATGTATGTATGTATGTTGTATGTATGTATGTATGTATGTATGTATGTATGTATGTATGTATGTATGTATGTATGTATGTATGTATGTATGTATATGTATGTATGTATTATGTAGGTATGTAGTATGTATGTATGTATGTATGTATGTATGTATGTATGTATGATGTATGTATTATGTATGTATGTATTATGTATGTTGTATGTAGTATGTATGTATGTATTTATTATGGTATGTTGTATGTATGTATTTTATGTATGTATGTATTTATGTATGTATGTTGTTATTATGATTCCCGGGGGCGGCTCTCCTTGGTGCTGATGTTCAAAACGTTGAGAGCCAAAGTAACCCTTAGTGTTGGCCAAAGCTGTTTTATTATGATTATTGTCAAAAGTTGTGTCAACTGAATGTTACTGTTTTACTACACTTATGTCAACTAATTGACAATGCTTTTACTAATGTTCTGTCAACTGACTGACAATGTTTTACTACAGTGTGTCAACTAATTGTCACTGTTTTCCTACACTAGTGTTCAACTAATTGCCAATATTGTACCACCACTTGTCAAGGTTTTACTACAGTTGTGTCAATTAATTATCAAAGTTCTATTACAATTGTGTACAACTAATTGTCAGTGTTTGACTACAGTTGTGTCAACTATTGTCAGTGTTCTACTACAGTTGTTTAAACTAATTTTCAGTGTTTTACTATAGCTGTGTCAACTAACTGTCAATGTTTTACTTCAGTTGTTCAAATTAACTGTCAATGTTTTACTAAAATAGTGTCAACTAAATGTCAGTGTTTTTTCTACCCGGGGTTT